TTGGGCATGCGCGACAGCGCGGATGGAGCCTCCGCTCGTCGTCGGGGATGACCCGCCCGGGGAAACGAAGGATAATCACGCCGAGACAGGCGATTTCGTCGGTGTTGGCTCCACTGTATGACAGCAGCACCGCTCGGACTCCTTCATCTCCAGTCTGCAGTCAGCTGCCACTCGGTCTCCCAGTTGACCGCGCAGTGGTCCGTGGCTTCGCTCTCCTGAATCCAATCCTCCAGCGTGCACTCCTCAATGAACCAGTGCCGACTCGCTGATTTCACCAGTTCCAGGCGAGCGTCTAAGGCGCAGGAGCGCCTGGCTTTCAAGTCCCCACGAGTCCTGGCTTTTCCGTCGCAGTCTGGGCCAAGGTTGGCACGCATTTCAATTTGGCTCACCCGAACAAATCTGGCGACGCGTTCCTTCACGTCAGTCGCCCAGGCGTTGGGCAGAGTGATTCCACTGGGGACCCTTCCGATGGGAATCGAAAGAATGATCGCTTGTCTTCCGTGATCCCACCGGGTACTGTAGATCGCCTTGATCTCAATAGCGGCATCTCGTCCACGACCCGCAGTGACAGCGGCATCCGGCCCCCCTTTGCTTGAAGCCCGGCGTGGTGAAAGGATTGGACGGCGCACTTGATTGGCCCGATTTGCCCTGTGCCCGGGAGACTGGCCGGATGGGGGCGGCGCCGGGTGCGCCGTGGGGGCTCGGGCCAGCAGCGCTCGCAGCGGCGCCTGAGCTGCCAGCGCCAGCAACCGAGGCGGCCTTCTCCTGAAGGAGAACGACTGGCAAGGCGCCGCCGGGGGGCCCCGGTGGTGCCATTGCTCGCGCTGCCATTTTGTTGCGAGCGATGTCGTCGGCGGTCAATACTTTGGGTTCGCTCGGTGTCCCGGGGTTCCGTGTTCGAGGGTGCGCTGGTGCTCCAGGAGCCCAGGCGCTGTTTGGTGGGCGGACTTGATCTTTGTTCCCGGTAACTCCCAGCGGCGGCAGAACAGTGGACCCCTGGTAGGTCGTGGTGTAGACGACTGGAACGTGGTCCCAGTCTGGTGGGAAGAGCATTTCCTGGCTGCGTCACGTCGGGATCCATGGGCCCGGTAGTCCCTGTTTCGCCCAGTCGACTGGCGCGGCCTTCCACTCGGGCTAACATCCGCCCCACGGGAGGCGTGTGATGTGGTCCCCGGTGACCTTGTCCATACATGTGCCGTTGGTGCGCGACCACAGATTCCCAGCTGAGTCGAACTGACTCGGATCTGGCCAGCCGTCCTTCCATTGTTCGGTGATCATTTCCTTGTGATGATGTCCACTGAACTGAGCTGTATCCCACGCGTGCATCTGGCAGGGCTCGCGCAGCCATCCCCGCGTCTGCATGTGCCCCCAAGCCATCGTCGGCATGTAACGACGCTCGAACATGGGCTGTCCGGTGGCGATGTCACGCCGCGGCCCACGTGGGCCGTGCGGCCCCAGGGCCAGAAAGCGAGCCGAGGCGCGTGCCTCCCCGTTGCTGCCCCATACTGCATACTGCTTCAGTGGTCACACCCGCTGTGGCAGCTAACCGCTGCAGCCCTAGTGCCAGAGGAGAGGACAGAATAGGCGCGATCCCGGTGAGCGATCGCTGGCCAAAGCGGCGGCGCGGGGGGGAGGGACCCGACCGCGCGCCCCCTGAGCCAAAACGGCTTACGGGCGTTTCAGCGCGTCCACCGCGGCAGCAGTGCCGGCTGCGCGTCCAGGAGGTCCACCTGGGAGACAGGAGAAGAGGAGGAAGAGGAGGGACGGCGGAGACACGGTGGAAGAAGATGGCGGTTGCATTTTGGCCGGCTTCGTGCAGCTTGTGGGCTCAAAAGACGCCCAGTGTGGCCAGGCGGTCAGCAGCTTTGTTGAGACGTCTTCGCACGGCTTGCCAGGTCAGCGCCCACCTGGCATCCTCAGCGGCCCGAAAGCCCGTTTCCATTTGCTGGCAGAGCGTGAGACGTCTGTACCTGGCCGTGCCTGCCCCGTATCTGATGGCACCGAGATTGTCACCAACGACGCGTGCTCTGTGCCCGCGACACGCTGTGAAGCTGAGTAGTGATAGCCCTGCCCTGCATCCCGCTACTTCGGCTGCTTGTGCGCTATCAGAGCTGGGTAAGGCCACGATGCCAATTCCGATGAGATCGGGGCGTCTAGTCTCTGGGTTGTGGTACCAAAGCGTGGCACCGCCTCCAGGGACCGTGTGCTCCCCGGATGCGCGCGCACTGCCGTCAAAGGTGACCTCGTACGGCCACAAGGTGGAGTCAGGGTTAGAGAAGGGAGAGTGGTTGACAGTGACCTCAACTCCCCGCTCGAGTCTTTTGAGTGGCATGGACTGTGGTGACGCGGGTGTCGCACAAGCGACAGTACCAGCGCGTCCACCCGGCTGTAGGCATGAGATCGGTGCGTGGGCATGGGAACCAGCTGGGCCCAGGTAAAATCCATCCCGCTCTGGGACGATGTGCGCGCAGTGTAGCAAGGAAGCTCACCGGAGGCGACTGCGCGGCTAAGGACAGGCAGCCTCCTGATCTCGCCTCCCGCCCGATCTGCAGTGCGGTTGGCGTGCGGAGCGGCTGAGCTGTGCATCGCGCGGTGAGGCAAAGGATTGGGATCACACGCAGCGCAATAATCTTCCATAGGACCATAGGAGCCCAGACTGCAGTTTCGGCATCCTGGATCCTGGCCTTCCCGCGCTGGTGGGGGGATATCTTCATACTCTGCGGCCTGTTCAATGTGATCAGGGACTTCAAGGCCAAGTGCGATCAATCTCGTACCTTCCTGTGGAATTAGGGGGGTGAGCGTACGGTTAGTGCAGTACCGAAAGGAGATCTGATGCACAACTCTAGCTGCCGTCTGCTGGTGAGGCCCTGTTGTCATGACAGCTCTTCTCAGATCCAACGGCTCCCCCTCCTGCCTGACCCGGTCCGAGGCCATTGCGACTGCTGTGCACCACTTCCACAAATGTTCCGTAGCTGCCTCGCCTGAACCGCACAGCGGACAGACCTTATAAGGGCCAGAGGTGAGCGGAATCTGAAGGCAGGTGGGCCTGTCGCCCCTCATGGCATGCGCTGCCCGGTGGAGCTCCTGCGGTAGCAGGTCGCTCGGGAGCGAAGCCCAGAGGGCGATCTGATTGGACCATTCTCCGAGGCAAGTGTGGCACCATGCGTGGCCGTGTTGTTGGGAGCTGGCAGTGTGCCAAATCCTGTGTGCTGTTTGGTGGCAGTTGCAGCAGACGTGCGTGAGTCTGTCTGTGGCGCCCCTTCGTCTCGCTGATCCTGGCATCCCGTTGGAGAGGAAGCGGAGCACGTGAACCGCAGCCGTGAAGGAGGGGACGTGGTGAAGTAGGTTCCATTCGACACAAATGCCGGCAGCCCACCTGCGGTCAGCGCTGGTTTCCCTGAGCCATTTCTGGCAGGCGGCAGGTGCAAACCGCGCGCACAACATTCTTGGCATGGCAGAGGGCTGGGTTGTCGTGTACCTGTAGAATGATGGCAGCGGCCTTGCCTGCTGCCATGACACGAGAGCCAGGGCGAGGGGGCGTGCAGTGTGAGGGGCAGTTTCGCGCCCACCCTACAGTGCGATTCCAGCGGAGCCGTGCCCGTCTCTGCGCTGGTGTAGGGCCACAGATGTCATCCATGACATGCCCGCGTGCTGTCACCGCGCGCGCCAATGCAGCAGGACATTTGGGTGATCCCGGTACCTGGAAGAGAATCCCAGTCCCGGTGAGTCCGGCCATCCCAAAACTAACCCGGGGTTGCGCACGGAGGTCCCGCTCTATGCGGTCATCTGGAGAGAAGTAGTGCGCAGGGTACGGGACGACGGACGCAGTGTACGAATTCCAGGTGCGCGTGGGAGAGAGGTTGGCGAGGTGGAGGGTGCGGATTTTGGGGAGAGCTTTTGTGCCATGTGCCTTGGATGAGCGCAGCGGCTTGCTCTGGTGTGAAACGACCGTGGGGTGGCAGTGATCCTTCTAAACTCCTCGAGGCGATGCATGCGCCAAGATATGGCCACGTTGGCCGCACGCAGCTGCTGCCAAACGGCGAGTGGTCGAGCACTTGTTTCCGCCAGGAGTGGTGGCCAGCGGATACTAAAGCTGGTAGGAATTCGCGAGGCGTTCAGAATGTTCAGGGCCCTCCCCTCTCTCTTGAAGTACCCACCTGCGTGTATCGCCCCACTTCCCGAGGCCATAATCCGTTGCACCACAGGACAGATTTGCTCTCTCGACGTCCAGATGTCTCCAATACGGCCCAAGATCGCTCCAAGACGGGCCAAATTGGCCTCAAGATGGCTTCAAAACGGCCCACGAGGCCGTCGAGGCGCCTCAAGGGATCCCGGAGAACCTCCCCAAAACAGATTCGGAGGGCACAAATTACTGATGTCCCAAAGGTGTGTATGTGTTTTTCGGGTTCTCTCCTTTTCGAGCTTCCGACGTCCCAGGACGACCCTAGAGGCCATCAAGACTGCCCCAAGATATCCCAAGAGGCCCGCATCAGGGCCCCAAGACGGCCCCAGAGGATTGCACAAGAGGCCCCCAAGAGAGCTCCAAGACGGGCTCCCAGACGGCCCGAGAGGCGCCCACGACTGCCCAAGAGGGCCCCAAGACGGCCCCAAGAAGGGCCCACGAGCGGGAATACGAGCACAGAATCCCAGCCTTCTGCCCCAGTAGGCCCCCAACAATCGCCCTTGCCTTCTCGAGTAGTTGCCACCCAGGATGCTGCGCTGGCATGGTCGCGGAAATGCCGGAGACAGCTGGATAGACTCCTCACGGCTCTCCACGCATGCTCGTGTCGGCCTGTTTCGGGGAAGCACATAACGTCTTTGTACCAAAACACCCTTCAAAGAAATTGACGCGGGGCGAGATTCAGCGGATGTGGGCCCAAAACGAGATGCACGCGCAGCGCTGTCTGCGAACCGACATGGGGCAATTCGCCGATGGACTAGGCAGGGTGGGGGGGTCCATCAACCTCCGATTCACCCGCTCGCTCCCCCCTGCTAGCCGCCTGAGCCACTCGTCCGCTGGCCCCCACGCGGTCTGCACCACGCGGCCGGCCAACAGGGAGTCCATCAGCCAGTGCCACTGCGTCTCGCGCCAGATGTCCGCCACCGCGCTTGCAGCGGCTGGAGTGCTGTGTCGTCCCCTTGCGATCCGTGTCGTTTGATTCGCCTCCTGCAAAACAAAGCGTAGCCAGTACCCCCGACGCATCGAACCCAACACGCGCTCAATGCTTTCACTTTGCTCGTGCGTCCTCTGGAGGGGTAACGATAGGGGGATCTGCTCAGGGGGGAGGAATCGATTTGGAATCAGCGATACATCGGCAATAGATCGGCTATGGGCCCCGGATAGTGAATCCGAACGGTCCTGGTTGGGTAGGACTATTGGGCCACTATTGGTGATCAATTGGCGATTGGGGGTCGATGCGTTCCCCCCGGAGCCTGACCCCACCTGACGTTGCCCCTGACCTCTGACCTCTACCTTCCAAGCAGAACATTCCCAGATCACGAGTTCGGGAGAGAGAAACCCGTGCCGTGTGCCCCTCGCGCCGCCCCGCCGCCGCGCAGAGCTCCGGGGGGGAGGCGGACGGGCGCGGGCCGCCCCAGGCCCCGGAGGCCCAGCTGGGCGCTGGCCAGCCTCAGCCCGCAAAGCTTCCAGACATCGGATGTCGAGGTTCTCCGATGTTCCCGTTGGCTCTCGGCGGCTTGCCAGCCTCGGGGTGCCTTCCGGCAGCTGCGCCTCGCCGAGAGAGTTCGCCCCGGACGGCCGCCCCCGTGTCGGATTCGTGCGACAGCGCATCTAGATAGCCAGACACCCAGTGGTGCACCTTGTGCACGGCGCGAAGCGACGCCCGCCAGGCAGGCGGAAGCCCGTCTCCGGCGGCGTCACCGCCGCCCTTCGCCTCTTGGATCAGCGCGGCGAAAACGTCCCCCTGAGAGGCGGCCAACCAGCTGGTGACCATGCTCTCCGCTGGAGTGTTCCGGCTTCGCTCTATGGTGCTCTCGTAGGAGGCTAGCTCGATCGCCGCGGTGCTCCGCCCCTCCTCCTCGCACTGGCCCGCCGGCGACACCTGGCAGGTGTGCAGCAGCATCAGGCCCCTGGAGAAGAGGTCGTAGGCAAGGTCGCTCAAGACCTTGAGATGAACAAAAAATGGCATCAGCACCAACTGTCGGAGGTCCGCGCAGATCTCTTGAATCAGGGCAGGACACCCCTCCCTGGCGCTCGGCGGCGCCGCCAGTGGGTCCAACGCCGATCCAAGAAATCCGTGCGGCCCTACACCAACCAAGGTTTACGTATTTCTGTCTATTCTTCTGGGAACGCGATCTTTGCACACCACCCCCATGAACAAGCTTGTCCAGCACAGGACCGCGGGGCGAGGGCTGCGTACAAAAATGGCAGGCATTTTTGTTTATTATTCTGGGAACGCGATCATTGCACACCACCCCCACGAACAAGCTTGTCCAGCACAAGACCGTGGAGCGAGGGCTGCGTGCAAAAATGGCACCCCTTGGGAGCACGATTCTTGTACACCACCCTACAGACAAGCTGGCCCCGCACATAGTGTGCGCGCAGGTGCGGTGGCCACGCATCGACCCCCGACGCTCGGGCCTTGCAGCCCCAGAAGGTGCTCCTCTCGGGCGTGTTGCCGCAGTGCTCCCTGGTCTCCTCCAGGGTCCCGAGCGCCTTCCGCACCGCCCTGGCCTGCTCCTCAGTGGCCGCGCCCAGCGCCTCCTCCGCGCAGCTGCGGACCTGCAGCGCGAAGGCGGGCAAAAAGTCGCAACGTGGCGACAACAGCTCTCGACTGGATCGGGCGCGGCCTCACCGACCCCTAGCAAACCATCCACTTCCGTGACGTCACCCTCGGCTTTCAAGCTTCCCTCCTTCCGCATACCTGCGTCTTGGGGCGAGGCGAAGCGACACGAAAAGGAATGGTCTGCTAAGGGTCGGTTGGGCCGCCCCTGACCAGAACCGCCGACCCCATCGTTCCGCCTCTCGGGTGTTTGTTGCGCCTTCTTCACTGTGCACCACCGGCACGCGCGCGAAGGACTTCATGTTCCGACTGCGGCGCTTTCCTTTCCGCCTCTCTCGCCTGCCTGGCTCCTCCTGTGCCGCAACTCGTTTCCGGAGACCGACGCTTGACCGGCACCTGCCTCGCAGATGCCCGCCGATCAGAAAGTTGTTTAACGGTTGGGGGCAGTCAGCGCGGGAAGAAGCAACGTGCACCCTTCGTGCCCTGTGTGGGCGCGCGGTGGCAAATGAGGGGCCGTTTCGAGACCGGGAGGGCCGCGCGGATTGCTCCCCGTTGCGAGCCGCACCGATTCGGCAGGGCCCCAGGGGCCCCAGGGCCTCAGGGCCCGGTAGAGAGACACCGCTGTCTCTGTTACGGCGCCACGATCTGAGAGACCCATGCCTCTGGAGCCTCTCGGGGCCCACAGAAGTCTCCAGGAGGTCCCCGGAGGTCTTCCTCGGATGTCGCCGCAGGCCCCAGATGGCGCGAAGCAGGGCCACGAACGTCCCCAGAAACTCGAACACCGAACTGCTCCACGATTCGCCTGCACGCTCGAGTGGCCCGAGGCCAGTGGCTCGGGGATCCTCTGACCCGGGTCAATCCAGACCCGGGTCAGTCAGAGCATGCAGGATCCTGCAAAATCCTGCACCCAAACCCGGGTCAACGCGAAGGATCCTGCAAGATCCTGCAGGACCCTGCACCCAAACCCGGGTCAACGCGACCCTGGCGCTGCAGGATCCTGCAAGATCTGGCGCTCTGGCTGACCCCCGTTTGCATTGACCCCCGTCTCGAGGCCCCCGAGTGGCCTCTGGTCCGCGGCCTCCGGGGGCGGCGGGGAGGATCCAACTCCGAACTCGCAGGCCAGCGCTCGGGAGGCACCTGCGGGCCCGCATGGCGAGACCACTCCGGCGAAGCGTCCCCCCTTGCGCGTCGCCCGCGGACCTGCAGGAGGGAGGGGGCCCGAGAGGGGCGAACTGGCCCGGGGGGGGGGATATCGGCTTGGAGCGACGGCTCTCGCAAGCCAGCGCTTGTCAAACCAAGAACGTCGACTTGGAATCGGCGAAGCACTGCCGACACATTGGGAGGTGCCCTCGGCCGCAGAGCCGCAGGTCCCCGAGCGGGGCGGGGCACCTGGGTCCCACGTGGCGACGAACGGGCGACTGGGGGCCGAGGGCTCCCCGACGCCACTTTGGCCGAAGCCTCCCCGACGCCCCGTGGGCCGAAGCCTCCCCGACGCCCCGTGCACCTGTCATGGAATACGTTCCGACGAGCATTTCGAGGCTGACCCAGCCATGCCCACGAGAACCCTCCCAGAGGCCCGAGAATGGCGACGACAGCAGAGAAACCTGCGCCCACGACCCTCGAATTTCAAGACAGGAGGGGCGAGAAATCAGGTGCTGCCCCCGAAGGGGGAGCCTGGGCGACGTTCGGGGCGGGGGGGGGGCAAGGGAGGGGAAGGAAAAGGGCAAGGTCCTTACAATGATGATGATGATGATGATGATGATGATGATGATGATGAGGAGGAGGAGGAGGAGGAGGAGGAGGAGGAGGAAATGTGCGAAGAAGGGCCCTCCTCCTTGCAATAATGTATCATCATTCGGAAAATGCCCCATTGGAAGAAAACTGTCTGAGAATCCTGAGCCGTGCCAAAACACCAGTCCTGGGACTTCAACACCACCAATCATCGTGACTGCTGCATCCGGAAGAGCCTCAATCGTGACAGACTGCTATCCCTGGAACTTCAACCATAGAAACACATGAACATGCTGCAAATGATTTACACGAATGTGCGCGGCGCCAAGGCGAGTCACATGTCGAAAAGGAAGCGGCCACTATCCTTGAAACGGTTGCAGGCTTCTAAGCAAAGTGTGTGCGGCGCTAAGGCGAGATGCACATTCTGAACACGAACCGCCCTCAATCCTTGAAGCTGTTGTTGCAAATGCCAAACTTCATGATCACACATGGTACGGAAGTCTTAGGCGAAACGCCCCGCCATGTCCCGCCCGCCCGACCAACTGACACGCCCGGGGGTGCGACAGGGACGAGTATATCTATATACCAAGAAAAGGGATGGAGGAGGGGGAGGAGCAGGAGGAGGCAGAAGAAGAACGATGAACAGGAGGAATATCAAGAAGAAGGAGGAAGAGGAGAAATGGGACATTTTCTCAGCATCCGTGGACAGCTGCCCCGATAACTCTGCATAGGAGGCGACGCTACGAGGGGAGGAGGAAGGAGGAGGACGGAGGAGAAAGAGGGAGGAGTGCGAGGCAGGGAATTATCCATATCCACCGCCTAAGAACCGACGTCCTGGGGAACCCAACGGGCGGTGGATCTGGAGATGTGTTGGCCCCTCGAGGCCAACATATATCCAGATCCACCGCTTGTGGACGTCCGCGAAACTAGAAGGGAGGACGGAGCAGGAGGAGGAAGAGGTGAAGGAGGAGGAGAAGGGAGGAAGAGGAGGAGGAGGAGGAACGAGGAGGAGGAAAAGGAGGAGGAGAAGGAGGACGGAGGAAGAAGTTAGAAAGAGAAAGGGGGGACACCAACAAATACCGCTACAGCCACTCCCCAGACTCCTCCCGGTGCGCGTTTTGACCAGCATTCTGAGGCGAATCCAGCGGTGGTGACGAGAGCCTCAACCCCCCAAACGGGGAAACTGGCGCAGGGTAGCGGCATGGACACCTTTATCCCCTCTGAGGCGGGAGGAAAAGGCTCGGGGACCCGGCTTGACCTGACGAGATCCAGTCTGAAGCTTGACGCGTCCTCCTGCTGCAGACATCCCACGAAACTGCTCCAGGACGAGCTCGTCAAGCAGAGACCGACCGTCCAGGCATTCCTATGGGCCTTCCACGAAATGCTCTTGGATCCCAAAAACGCTCGAATACCAAAGACAATGTTCTTACAACGTAAGCCCGATGTGTTAAAACAAGACAGCCCCAAGCAGAAATGTTCTAAAAACATTTCGTGCAGACCACAAAAGGTTCTTAGAACATTCTTTGGTAGGTCTATAGGCACGCTAGGACGTTTCGCCACTGCTTGGAGTTCTGGCGCACTCGAGTTTTACGCGTCCTCGGCAGGGAAGGGGACCTGGCCGACATTGTCCAGCCGGCGCAAGCTCTCGCAGGCGGGCCGCGGCTGCGCCCGGCAGCCGCCCGCGAGGAGCGCCGCGGCGGCGGCCACGGCCGCCCGGGGCCGGCGGCGGCCGCCGAAGCGGCGCATGCCCGCATCGGGGGGGGGGGAAGGGGGGGGAGGAGGAGGATCAAGAAGGAGGACGAGGAGAATCGAGGATCGGGGATCCAGCGTCGAACAGGAAGAAGAACAGGAGTGAAAGGAGGATCGATGATTGATGGGCGTCGACGATCGATGGAGTAAGGGTCGATGAGCGGTGATCGCAGAGGAGCAAGACAAGCGAACCAACGCATGTGAGAAACGAGTAAATGGGGTCCTGTGCGGGATGGCGTATCGACTTTAGGCGGTGGCTCACGCGGGCCGCCAGCGCGGCACGCCACGATGGAAGCGAAGGCGCGCACACGTGACCTTACGCGGGCAGACTACGCGCCAATGTCGGTGAAAACGACATTTTTTGTTCCGTCGTTCATGCGTGCGCGCACGCGCTCTGAAATCCCGCCTGCACCAAATGTTGGAACCAGACGGAAGCCCGCGGAAGCTGACCGCGCGCGTGTTCATATGCGGTCGGCTTCTCAAGATAGGGGGGGAAAAAAGGAGGGAGGGGGAAAGAAAACAAGGGCGGTGGGCATTTCCGGAAATTCTCCTGGGGTCTGCGAAGATATCACTGGGGGAGGAGGATATCGGCATGCGAGCGCGACGCCGCGCGAGTTTGCACTTCGTCCCATTTGTGGAAAGGGATCTTTGGGAAACTGGTGATATTTGATAAACGAACGCGCGCGGATTGTATTTTATTGGCGGTCGATAAATGTCTGCCTAAAATCCCGCCGGCAGCAAGGAGCGTTTCCGCGGCGCGTCGTTCCGCGAGGCGGCGGCGCCTGCGCTTCCGCCGCTCCGCCTTGGCCGCCGAAGCGGCGGGCAGGGTTTCAGGCGGCGCGTGGGCGTCAGGGGCAGCAGCGGCGCCAAGCGAGGCCGCCGCTCTCGGCACATCTCCGCGCGCGAAAAGCGCGGCCGAGACAAGCCGACGCGCGCCGCAGCGCCCCGGCGGCGACCGCGGCCCAGGGGGGCGCCGAGGGGGGCCGACGGAACCCTTCGTGGGCCCCGGCATCCCGCAATGTTATTTCCGCCTCCTGCCCCCTCCCGGCCCCCATCCCGCGCCCTCATTGCCATGCGTGCCCGCGCCTCATTCGGCGCGCCATTTGCGCCCTTCGCGGCGCCGTGCGGAGCCCCACCGACAACTCCGAGGCATAAGCCCGCACGGCGCACCCACGCCCCGTTCAGCGCGCCCCCCGCGCGCTTCGTGGCCCCATGCGGAGCTCCGCCGAAGGCCCCAGCGGCAGGGTCCGCACGGCACGCCCGCGCTCGATCCGGCGCGCGGCCCCGCGCGCTTCGCGGCCCCATGCGGAGCTCCACCGAGGGCCCCAGCGGCAAAGTCCGCGTAACGCACCCGCGCCCGATTCGGTAACCGCCACGCGTTCCGTGGCACCATATCGGCGCGGGCCCCACGGCACATCCGCGCTCGATTCAGCGCGCCCCCCGCACGCTCCGCGGCCCCATGCGGAGCTCCAACGAAGGGCCCAGCGGCATCGGCCCACGCGCTTCGGGGCCCCATTAGGGGGCCTCACCGAAGGTTCCAGAGGCAGGGCCCGCGCGGCGCGACCAGCCCCGCGCGCTTCGCGGCCCCGCGGGGAGCTTCGCCCACGGACTCAACGGCGCGTGACCGCGCCCAATTCGGAGCGCCCGCCGCGCTCATCGTGGCCCCATTGGGAGCTCCGCCGACGGCCCTGGCGGCAAGGTCCGCGCGGCGCATGCGCATTTGATTCGGCGCGCCCCCCACGCGCTTCGCGGCCCAATCGGGGGCCCCGCCGAATGCCCCAGGGGCGGCGCCCGCGCGGCGCGCCCGCGCGCGATTCGGCGC